TATTTTTGAATTTATAATTATTTTTATTTATTATTGAATTTATTTCTTATCTATCGATCATCTTGTCTGCAATGTATGCTAAATTGAGATCAATTTTTATTCAAACAATCAGGCAGGACACACAGTATTTCCACGCGTATTTTCCGCACGTTCTTGCCATTTTTTTACTAATCGAAAATCGAGGGAATTTTTTCAAAAACAGCTATTTATACCGGTATGTATTCTTAGTCTTGTAGATTCCATGCCAAAAAGTACTTCGATATTATTTCTTTCCTAAAAATATCTCACGAAAATAAGTATGCGAAAAATACGCGCGAAAATACGGTATGCATACACTGCCGCTCGAAAGTTTCGAGCACATTACGATTTCAAGACAACTGAAGTTTCCTTTAAGTAAATAAATGTTTTATTGGAAATATTCTTCTGCTATGTTAATGAAACTGTACTTAATTACAATTAAAAGTAGAAGTTATAATTATTTTGTACTTATTTAAAAAAAGTACAATAAGAAAGTATTTCTTTGCAAAAGAATCCTCTTTTTTCTTACATGACCGCTTCACATAACTTTGTTATTATGGCAATTACTTTTTCAATTGTTTCTGGTTTAATATCGCTCCAAGCTTCTTATAAATATTTTTGCCGATCTGTTGTAGATGTTTGTCATTTTTTTTCTATTCCTGTCCGATTCATCCAACGAGAGCTCAGTCGAATTACAATTTTAATTTCAATCTTACATCGTACGTGTGTGATGCTATTCCAATGTAATAAGTACAATATTTCTAATAAAACTACTACATATGTTTCGAAAAAGCTTTTATCCGAATAACGAACAGTGCTCCAAACTTTTCAGCGGCAGTGTTAGGTATACGAGCTGTTCACAGGCCAAAGTGGTTAGCTCAGTTTTTTTGAATTTTTTAAAATTTTATTGCCAAAGTACATGACTGATGCATATTTTTTTTACACTTGAAAGAAATTTCCTTAATAATTACGCTTAACACCACTGCATGACAGAAATTATAGCCGTTGAATGATAAATCATTTATTTCCGAAGATAATGTGATTAACTTCATACTCCAAAATAGATCGTAGTAATCTGATTTAAACGCTTATAAAAATTTTAAAATTTCTAAAAATAATTTCATCAATGCCCTCCACTCCTTGTTCCGTGGAGTTAACCGATCCGACAAATGAGCAGCCGTATATAGCACTCGTCACGAGTCAATTAAAAGCCACGGAATACCTAAACAATCATTAACGAATCATTAACCCTGAACGGTATCGTACAATCGATCTCACGCGTCCTATAAATGGACTTCGAACCTCCTTAAACCTCCCTCTCTCTCTCCACTGTTTCCTCGCTCAGCCTCTAGAGATGATCTCATGGATCGAAGCTGTCGTCACGATCGAATAAGACCGCGAAACGGTCGGCTCTGTGGTGGTGAAGAAAAGAAGAGAGAGAGAGAGAGAGAGAGAGAGAAGAAAACAGAGGGGAAAAAAGGGGGTCGTGTTTACAGGCGTGTAAATACGCCGACGCGAAGTGAGCCGCGGCGCCGAGGCGCGTAAGTGGAAGTACTCAGAGGCTGGGCTATAGCAGCTGACGTTAATTACGAGCGGCTCGATGTGAATGGCCGCCTTGTTCCGAGGTGGCACACCGCGTTCTCTTCCCATTCTTTCTTTCCCGTCGCGTTCTATATGCGCGCATAGTGAGCGCGTGCCACGACATACCGCGTGTTTAAACGGCCTCGCGTAAAAATCCCCGTTTCCGCCTTCTGATAACGTCGCACGACCTCGTTTGTTCCGACGTTTTATCAACGGAATCACGGATTTCCACGCGAAACGAAGCGTTTCGCGGATCTCTGCCAGCCTTTCTGTTAGAAGTAACGAAAATTACGAGGAAAGGTTAATATTCTATCGAGGATCTTTGATATTGGAAAGATAGTCGAAAGTGGAATGGTGAAGTGATTTTTAAGGATTGAACAATCGAAGTTGAATGTACTTTTTTCTTCTTCTTCTGCTCTGATATATTTAGGTATACTACTAGTGCGGTCTTTTCTTTTTCGACCCGTTGTCTTCTTATATTTTTAATATCTTCTGCTGTTATCAAGTTTATGTTTTCTTAACATTATATTAAACGTTTATTGTGTAGGTTCATATGGCGTGCTGATAGTAAAAATTGTTACTCATAATTATAAAAAATAAATAAGAAATTACATTGGGTCAAAAAAGACCCAAAGACCTTAAGTGTGTAGTTGAACAGAAGAACGCACTAGGGTTAAATAAATTGGCAGGTATAATTATTTCTTTATTTCAAGCATTTTAAAATAATTTGTGTAATTTAGTTTTCGGTGTTTCCACGAGTTTGGCTGTTCTGGTCTGAAAGAGTGATCTATGGATCTGTGCTTTGATTTGGTAGTAGAAGGAATGGAATTTTGATACGGAGAACGAGGGTTCATTTCGAGTTTCCAAAGATAGGATTAAGTAATATCTGAAAGATCAGTGATCTGTGCTTTGATTTATGACTATAGCAAATGAAATTTGAATACAGAGGACAGGAGAAAATAGCGAATCATCTGGAGTAAACAGAAAATTTTCAATCTTTAAGAATTCTTTTAAAGTTTTCATCGAAAATCCAATTTGAAAATACCATTAAATTAATATTAAGAATGAATTTCCAAAGATAGAATTAAGGAGCATTTCAAGTGATAAAGATCGATGAATTTATACTTGCATTTATGACTGTAATAAATGAAATTTTAATACAGAGGACAGAAGAAAATGTTGAATCTTCGAGAGTGAACAGAAAATTCTGTCTGTAAATGTCATCATCTTGAGTCTGAATATTGTTTAATTCAGAGAACGAGAAAAAATATTGAATCACCAAGAATGAACAGAAAATTTCCAATCTCTAGAAATTCAAATTTTTATCGAAAATTAAATTTATCAAACATCACTACGCTCAAAATTCACCGTGAGTCTGAACATTGTTTAATACAGAGAACAAGAGAAAATATCGAATCAGGAAAATTTCCGATCTCTAAAAATTCAAATTTCCTCGAAAATTCAATTTGTCAAATACCATAATCGCGAGCCAGATTTCACGAAACGCCCACAGAATAAGATCTCAGCCGGTGGCTTGTTAAGAAAGCCTGTCATTAGGCGCGGCTGTTAAAATTACACCGCTACGCGACGATCCATACGCTCGAGACGCGATATAATGAAGCGATTTCCAATTTGGTAATGAAGCAATTTCCGAAAGGGTTCGCGATCTGCATACAGATTGCCTGAGAGTTTCCCTCTGCTTGAAACTTTCACACCCGTCGTGTAATTCTCGCCCGGCCAACGAGTCTCGGTAAACTGTAATTTTCCAATTAACCAACACCGATAAAAATCAATCATGGTCGGCCTCTTGCGACACACTCTCTTTCACCGATTTTCTCGGCCCGAGAACCGAGATCGAATTATCTGGATAATTTATCGTTTCAATATTTGTTTAAGTAGAAATTTCGCCGATGAAAGGGCTATTCCCTTGGATAATAAAGCTATTTTACGGATGAGTTTACAGTAATTTCAAGCAACGTTGGATTTCATGTGTTTCAAAATAATTTACGCGTATTTATTTTTATTTCGATTGCAATTTCAAAGAATAAAACTGTTTCCTCGATTAATGAAAATTAGAAAATTTAGAAAATCCAAACTGTCTTAATTGTAAATAAAAACGGGTGAGTATTTATAGAAATTCATTTGGACGGCAAAGGCCAATCAGAATCGCCGAAAGTTTGCAAATCTCGTTAATTTTTATTCAAAAAATTTTATTTTAACAAAAGCTCGCAGACTCTAAATTTCATAATTTATCGTGATAGAATGGATGATAATAAAAAGGCGGGCAAGGCGAATCGAAGTCGTCAAAAGTTTGCAAATCTCGTTAATTTTTATTCAAAAAATTTTATTTTAACAAAAGCTCGCAGACTGTAAATTTCATAATTTATCGTGACAGAATGGAAGATAATAAAAGGGAACGCATGACACCTTCATAAGTTAGCAAACTTACTGACCGCTCAATTTAAAAGTTATTCCAAACATTCCATCAATTTTACAACATTTATACTCATCGATAAGAACAATAAAAAAGAAACGAAAGAAAAAGCTACACCCGTTGCAAAGAGCGATCTCTCTCTATCGACCATGGGATCGGTTTAATTCGCAAAATGTTTCGCGGTAAGAGCAGCGCAGGCTCGCGTGCT